AAAGTCAGAATTCTGAGATTAAAGTCAGAATTCTGAGATTAAAGTCAGAATTCTGAGATTAAAGTCAGAATTCTGACTTTTTCCCCAAACTAAACTGAAAAAAAAATTAAAAATCAGTTAACTTTTTTCAGTGGCCCTAATCCTCTTCCGTAGCATCCAGCATATGTTCCCTAATATTATCTTTTTGTTGTGGAGTTTTGTAACAGGGATAACAATGATCATACAAAATAGTTTTTTTTATGAACTAGGTTTGTTCTCTACTTCCAAACTTAGCATCTCTTCATCCATGCCTGCAATAAAAAGTTTCTTCTGAAGTTTTGAGATGCGCTCTTGGAAGTTTTGACTGAATTTGATTGAACCTTTAAACGTCTCAGTATAAAATAAATATTTTTGATTAAAAAAAATCTGCTTCCTGGTATGTTGAAGTACCAACAGTACCAACAGTTTGCATCTAATCATTTAATTAAACCGTCCTATTTTTTGGGAACCTATTAACAATTATGCTCTAATCTGTAGTTATTGATCCGTTATATTTAAAGTTGAAAACCAGATCTTCTCAATGTTCTGTTTCATGTTTGGCGCGATTGCAATCACGGATCTTGACCTGACCAGATGAAAAAAAAATAAAATAAAAATAGCTCGGCTCCGTAGTTTTGACGGTGAAGGACGGCGAAGACGTACGTTAACGGTGACGTGCGGACGAGTAGAGGTGGATGTGGAACAGTTTTCATTGATTAACAGAAAAGCACTCCGCACGATGTACGTGAGCGGGGCGAAGCGGAGGTGGGGGATGTGGAATTTGGGGGTTAAAGTCTCACAGTAAACCAAAGCGTGAGCAGATTCATTTGGACAAATTGTAGCTCCTAGTTCCTCTTCCTTCATCTTTCTGGGGGGGAAAAACTTTGGATCCAAACTGACGGAAGTTCCAAACAATTTTCAAACAATTTAACATCCAGTTAATATTTATTATTGTGTAATGTCTGACTAGGCTAAATGAATCAATAGCATCCTGCTTCCTTCACCTCCTTCCTTACTGCTGAGACTATTTGGACAGCACTGAAACTGAAATATTCAATTATTCAAATCAACTAATTTACTAATCAGTTGTTAGGTGGAGTATACAGACTAACAGGCCATCTGCTGATAAAAAACAAAACGACCCAATCAGAACAGTAAATGTGTCAGAATCGTTTAATATAAATAAACATTTTGCATCTAAAATAAAAATGTTAGCTGTGAACAAGCTCTGTCCAGAACCCTTTTAGTGGCCCAGTTTTAGCTTCACTGTGTCTGAATTCTGTATAAAATCTTCAAGGCGTCTTTTGATTATCAAATATTAATAAATCAACAGATTGATCGATTATCAAAATAGTTTGGACCCCGGCTTCAAAGCGGCGTGCTCTTACGTTTGGCGGTAAGCTCAGACGCTCTCCATTGGGCAGCGTCAGCAGCTTGTTGTCGTCGAGCACAGAGTTCAGATTCTCCACCCACTCTGGGTCGACGTCGCCGTCGAAGATGATCCACTGGCGCTTCTGCAGCTCTCCTCGGACGTTGTCGATGATCCTGACAGGGGAACAAGTTTATGCATTCAGATTCCTTTATGACCACATTAGTTGTTGAAGGTTTTAACACCGCCGCCACTCACTTCCTGAGGATGTGTGTGAACAAGCCGTCGGTCCACTCGCGGGTGTTTGGGTCTAAAGTTCCGTACAGATGGTCCTTGATGATGGCCTTGGGGTCAATGATGTGAGCCACGCCCTCGACACCCTCCAGCCGTTCCAGTGCTTTGAGGAGCACCCTCCACGCCATGGTCTTCCCACTTCCAGAAGGACCCACCATCATCAGACCGTGGTTGATCTGAGTGATCTGGTAGAGCTGGAGCACCTGGAGTAGGTTCATGTAGAGAAGGTTAAAGTCGCTGCTCCTACATCTAAATAAACGTCCTGAGGTCGACCGCTTACCTTCTCCACCCACATGCTGCCAACATCGTCGCCGTCTCCATAGGTGAGGTACATTTCGCTGCAGACCTTCTTGAGCTCCTCCCTCAGAGCCGTCATCTCTCCTCGCTGGTACTGAACTCCAGGGAAGACATCAGACAGCAGGCTGAAGAGAAGAGGGATGTCCTCCGCCACCAGCTTAGGCACCATGGTCTCACACACGCTCTGGATCAGGATCTACAGCACCAACAGACCCAGGGTTAGAGCTCCAAGAACAATGCAAGCGGACTTCAAGGTGTTGATGGGACTTTTTTTGCTGTACCTCTTGTTCTGGAAGGTTCTCTGCTATTTCATTCTCGTCCACGTCCTCGCCGCGCTCCAGCTTCTCCCTCTTGATCCTCTGGATGCGCTCACGCTTCACGTTACCGGCGCTGATCAGCACGCTCTTCAGGGCGCGGAGGCCGAAGTCATAGTGGCTCTGAGATGACAGCTGCTCGTCACACAGCCTGGAAGATGGAAGCAGCAGAATCCGTCAGAGGGAGACGGGCTTTCTAAATCCCCAGGGAGAGATTTTAAACCACTTCAACACACTTAAAGAAGGGTACGATCTTCTTGGCGAGCGTCTCCGCTGTCCGGAAGCCCTGAGAGTAGAGCATGACCTGAGCGATGAGCTGCCGGTCAGGCTTCGTCATGGCCAAGCTGCGGAACAGCTTCTTCAGGTTGTCGGGCAGGTTGGAGCGGCCGGCGTAGCCAGGGTTCATGGTGATGAAGATGGCCATGTCGGGGCTCACCTTCACCTGTTTGTTCAGGAGCTCCGTTGTGACGGGCACGCCTGGATCGGAGGCAACAGAACGCACTCAGTGTGTGGTTTTTAGGATGCTGCGCACAGCGAGTATAAAATAAACTACAGCCCAGAAATACTGAATGGGTATGGAGTGATCTTTGTTCCATTATTGTAGAAAACCAAAGGGGTTTTGCAGATAGAATTTATTTTTTTTTAAATCCAGAAATGAAATTTAGAAAAACTTCTTATAAAATAAAAGGTATCGGCAGTAGGGCTGAAACCATTAATCACATTAATAAACTAATTTAGTGTTTGATAAATTGTTAACTGGAATATAAAGACTCTAAAACATGTCTCTAGCCGACAGAGCGACCCACCCTGAGCAGAAATTATAAAAAAATATAGATATTTTTTAAAATTATGTAAACATTTTGCATTTAAGATAAATATCTTTTCATCTGTCATTCTGTTCTATCCTCAACTCCTCCAGTGGAAAACTTTTAGTTTTACCTGGTTTAATTTCCTAAAGAATCTTCTTTAAGGATTTACAAAATAACTGCTAGTTGCCGGCTTAATCAACAGTAACGTTGCTAGTTTTGTTTTTTCCACTTTTTTTCCCCCAAATTAATTTATAGTCTTTGGATGTATTATTTGTTTTTTATTGATGGTTTTAAATAAAACGTCATAGCTAAGACCTTTAGGCTGCAAAAGCTCAATCAGATTGAGGTTTGGACTTTGACTAGGCCATTCTCTGACTGCATGTTCCGGCCGATTCTCCTGCTGCACAATGAACCCCAGTTTTAGTTCCAGGATTGTTGTAGATTTAGCGTCTTCTGCCTTCACAGCTTTCCTGACCCTGCTAAAAGCATTCCAACAGAATGATGCAGCCACCACCATGTTTTACAGCAGAGAGGTCAGTTTTTTTGGATGCATTTATGATGACTGGGGGTGAACTTTAGAGGCTTTAACAGAGCTCTGGGAGATCTTCAAATCTTGGGATACTAGAAACTAACCCTGCTTTAAATTTTCCTAATATTTTTCTGCAAAATGACAGCTGGGTTTATTTGTAATGAAGGTTGTTCTTTAACCTCTGCGGCCAAAAGAACAGCTTGTGAAAAAACTAAAAGTTGATTAACCTTTTAAAATAATGCAACACTTTGTGTTTATCTATCAAATAAAATCCACTGAGGTTTTGTTAGAATAACAAATGGGTAGAGATATGTCTGCAAAACATTAAAACATGACTTAGTCCGGAATTTTTTACACGTACTCCTGTCTCTGTTGGGGTTGCTGTGCTCCCTCAGCGCCACCTGGATGTACTGGACCTGCTGGGAGACGGCTGACAGCATTCTCTCCTCCAGACGGTTGAACTCGTCGAAGCAGCCCCAGGCTCCCACCTGACACAGGCCCACGAAGATGCGACCCATGGCCTGCAGAAAAAGAAAAGCAGAGATATTATTTGCATGTTTTTGGGAATAACAATTATTAAAAATTCACCTAATCTGGAACAGTCATATCATACCTGGAAATCGAAGGTTTCATCACAGTTGAAGACCAGGACGAAGCGTCCGAGCTGGTGTCCGAGGGCTTTCACAGACTCCGTCTTTCCCGTTCCGGCAGGACCTGAGAGATTAACAAACAGAGTCAAGATCTGTTTTATATAAAAATCAAGCTGTAATAATAAAAAACTGGTTCCGCCTTCATACCAAAAGGTGATCCACCAAGACGAGCCTCCAGAGCCTGGGTCATGGTCAGATAGCAGCGGTCTGTCAGTGGCGTCTGAACCAGTTTGTCCTGAACGCCCAGGTACTCGAAGCCGTAGTTGAACTTGGCGTTGGCCATCTGAATGGACAGCTGCTGCAGGACGTCCGTCTGCTTGGGGTCGAAGTAGAAACGCATCTGGCTGAGCCACTCGAAGGACTTGGGGTTGTCGATCTTGTTCTTGATCAGAGTCCTCGTGACGTCCCGCTGGTGCACCAGCTCCGTGATCTGAGAGGCGGGTGAAAAACCAGAGCATTTACGCAGCTTCATTTAAAAATAAAAACATCAAGATGATTAGAAACTCCTTTCACCAGGTGCTCCAACTTCCTCCTGCGGATAGGAGGCTGCTCCATCAGCACAGTGTCGGCCAGCACGTTCAAGGTGGCCTCCACGTTTGACAGCACTCCCTGCATGGGGGACATGTCGCCGCCACCAGAGATGGTGGTCAGGGCGGACTCGATGTTCTCAGACCAGGCAATCTGTGCGGAGAGGACCACCAGCTGGGCCTGAAGAGCAGAGAATCACTTTAAATCAAGGTTTGAAATACAGCAAATCTTTGGCAATTTCTCATAGATATTTTATCATTTTAAATGTGAAAATAAAGCTTTATATCTGATAGGTTCTACTGAAGTTTTACAATCTCTAAAAATGCAGTTTTTAATCATTTTGATTTAAAATGTGTTTAAACATATTTGTCTTGGAGGTAACATTTTTACAGCTCATCAAAATAGGAAATGTGGACAATTTCTCAATCAGTGTGTGACTCATTTTTACAATATAAAGACAAATATTAGCTGCAGAGTTTAATGTCAGGCTATGCATCAATGAAAATATGCATTAAGCAGTATCTGCAGTCATTTGATAAAACATTTTGCACTTATCTAAGGACTCATTAGTGCATGAGTGGACGAATGAGTGATTAAATGCATGCAGGGATGCAAAATGGAGGAACTGGTGAATAAATGCAACGATTTATAAAAAAACGTTACGGGGATGAATAAGTAAATGCATGGAATTAATATATGAAGGGATGAATGCATGGAAAATTTAGTAAATAAATAAATGGTGCAAAATAAAAAGAATAAAGGAAAGAGTGTAAATGTAGCTGAATTAATGCATAGATAGATGCAAAATGAATAAATTAATGAACAAATGACGGAGTTCCTGCATGGATGAATCTGTGAATCAATGGATGCAGAAATGAATGGATGAAGGGATACCTACATGCATTAATGAGTAAATGGAGGCATGATGCATAAGCAAATAAAATGAAGGACTGCATATGTGGATAATTGATAAAAGGAATGAACAGAATGATGCAGAATAAACAATGAAAAAATAAAGGAGTGCATTAATTAATTAATATTAAACTTGTATTCATGATCTATCATGAAAATTAAGTTCAGCCTTATTATCGACTGTTTTAATCTAACATAAGCCAGATTGATGTCATGTAGAATTCAATTTGAACTACAGGGTATTCATCCCTGCCCCCCCATGTCAAGTTTTTAGCCAATCACAGCAGCATTTGTTTTGTTTTGTTTTGTTTTGTTTTTACATTTGATCACTGCTGCACTTTATGGAATTGTTCTGAAAGCTGTACAAAAAGTAATTTTGTTCTGTATACACTTTAAAAGTTGTCCAAGTCAGCTTGATTTGTTTCACAACAGGCAGAGACGTTTATCTGACCTGGTAACGATCAATCCAGTTGATGTACTGCGTCAGGTCGATGGCTGTTCCCTTGTTGAAGGCCGAGACCTCGGTGACCGACTCCGCGAGCAGCTTAGCCAGAGTTACTCTCATCTCCTTCTCCACCAGGGTCAGCCACTCGTTGATCTTTGGATGCTCTGTGATGGAGACCGGTGTCTTGTAGAGCACTTCCTCTCCCTCCCGGGAGGAGATTCCCAGCACCTCGGTGTTGTCTTCATTCAGCAGGATGCTGGAGACCCCGGCAAACATCTTCTTGAAATGCTTCTGGAGTTTGGCCACGTTCTTGCTATTGCCTATGATCTCCAGCAGGTCCTCGTCTCCAACGAAGTAGAACCTGTCAGCAGGGAGCAGATTTCATGAGATTCCATAACCGAAGGGTTTAAACCAGAGCTTCAACTGTAATTCTTTTTCTTTATAAGTTATAATTGTTGACATAAATTCCCAGAGTTTAAAAACTAAAACTGAATATTTTTCTAGTCAACTTGTGCCTCTGGTCCTTCTTAGTTTATTTCTTAAGTAGGAATGCAAAGTTTCATTGAAGTTCTTTTTACTGTATTGGATTTATAACTGGATCCTTGAGAGCATTAAAATGGATTTAAAAAGTGAAAAAGAAAGAAAAAAAAAAGTAAAAAGGAAAATACTTTTTTGGGATTTTAACAACACTTTGTTTTACGTAAATAATTGATTCTATTGTTTGAATGGTGTCAATAAAATAAGTGAAAATCCATTTTTAAGTGTGAGCTAAAAAAGCATTAAATGAGGAGCTTGTTCTAGTGTAGTTGTCCTAACCAGACTTCGCCAGATGGATTTGCTCTGCATATCCATCTGGAAACTTTCCGTTGAAGTAAT